CACACAGACAACATTAATCATTCACATCAGGGTGTTTGCATTCCCGTAACCCATTTTCCGAGCATGCAAAATTAAGCTTGACACTCTAATTTAGCATCAGAGGCGAACTCTGAAGGAACACCAACTGGCTTTTTTTTTAAATGTCAAACAGTGTCTGTTTGTCTGTATGTATGCAACTGCTACCTCATACAGACTTCTGAGCACATCCTGCATGCATTTATAACACAAAAAAACACAAAATCACTGAGTCTTTCTTAACAATGCTGAATAGAAATCTGGAGCCAAACAAAGGCTTTCTGCAGAAAACTGCTGTTGTGCACTTTTTTATAGCCCTCATTAGTTTGATCCTGATATCTCAGTCTAAGGCAACTTTTCCTTTCAAAGGAAATCAGGGGTTGAATGTCTACTAGGTAGATTTAAACTGACATGAAGCCATCACAGTGACGGGGAACAGATGCATTTTATATAATTGGAATATCTAAACTTCTTGGCTTTCCAGTGCTGTCAATGTTAGGTCCATAGGAGGAAAACATCTCCTGTGAAATTCCTTTGTTCACATTTAGAAAAGATGCTCTTATAGCACTCTAAAAAAGTAATGAAATGCACGCTGAGTAAGAGGAGAAAGAAATCCTTGCTCCGACTGCATTAGGAACTACCGAGTAAAGCTCTGATCAACATGACCTTAAACTGATGGGGTTGCCTTCGATTAAAAGTTTAACATGTCATAAACCGCCAGATGAAAAGAGAGAAACATAATATTCACAGCATTGATGATGGTATTCGTTACATCAAACTACAGAAATAATGACTTCGAACGACACTGTATATAGTTACACCTGTATACATTGCAATTGGCTATTGGGTGGTGCAATCCCTTTGCATTTCAAGGGAATATTGCTTTGGCACATGTATGACCTATAATAGCTTACACCCCCAAAACAAGCTGAGCACTGAGCATGGCACACAAAATGCCAAATGTCATTAAATGCGTTTCCGTCCAGTTTAGCTACTGACCTTTCACGTGTAAAGTTTTCAGAAGAAATAAATAATCAGATGTTTAGTCTTTTTTGTTAGTTAGCCCTCTAAAGTCACTGCTGAGAGTTGAGGTTTCCATTAATCAGAACAAGAGTGAAAAAGAGTGTTTAAGGTTTCAGACTCTTTGACTTCTTCATGAAATCAGTTCATAATGCCCCACGTTAAAAACAAAGACCTGTAAGAAAACGACACGAGAGAGGTAGGAATTTGAATTCCGAAACCTTTGATCCACAAATACTTGCATGCTATTTACCAGTTGGCACGGCAAGAAAGTAAATAAATGAATAAATAAAAGTGTAACTTTTGACACCTTTTCACAACCAGAAATATGGCAGTACGTAAACTAGAGAATACAATCACACCCAGCAGCCCCTCTGCCCAGAAGGATATTTACACTGCTAGCATAGACTAAGAGTTTCTGCCCTGCTAGATGACCACTTCTTCACGTGGTAGGTTGAGCTTCACCTCCCCTCCTGCTGCTGCGGAGGTTGAGTAGACTGCGGTGGCAGAAACACAAGACGGGCCGTTTGTCTCCATGGTGAAGAGCTTGCAAGGTCCTGGCAGGGCTGCATCAGCATCAGGAGCCTCCTTTTCTGAGCTGGATGCCTGGGATGATGCAGGGGAGGATGTGGGGCTCAGCTGCACAGCTGTAGTGTCCTGCAGCGTGTGCTCGCTGGTCTCTATTTCAAACGCTGCCCCGCCAGCCTGCCCGCCGTGTCCCATCAAGCCAGCCCCTCTGCCCCCAACCTTGGACCTCCGTGAGCTGTGTGGAGGCGGGAGTCGACTGCACACGCAACACGCTCCGAAAAAGGAAAAGGCCACCAGCAGCAGGATAGGTCCGATGATGATTGGGGGGTTGGCAGAAGGCATCAGTGTGCTGAAGGCGAATGCTCCCACCAGGGTGATGTTGAGTCCAGCCAGCATGATGCATAGGCCACAAGCACAGCAGAGTGCCGGAGAGGGCAGGCCATGAGGGCGAGACTTCCTTTTCTTCTGGGGCTCCTTTTTAGGCACAGGGGTGCCGGTGTTTCTATCAGCGATGACCATGGTTTCCCCTCCAGGCTCTCTGGCTTTCTATCTTCTATCTTTTTGTAGATACACAAAATAAAGGAAAATAAGCTTTTTTAAGTCATTACAATGGCACTAGTGTGCACATGTAGAAAAGCTCTGTCAATCAGTGAGCTTTGATCTGTCACCTCATTGCGCTGCTACACCTACAGAATACAGACATGAGAACAGATTGTAAAAAGTTGAGTGAGCAGCACTCAGGTAGTGGTCATCTATTGGTGACACCTGCATAACATGTGAAGACAGCTGGCCACTGAAATCTTCCTAAATCAATTACACTGTTTAAAAAAACAAAAAAGGATCTAAACAGCACCTGTACAACAGCCGCATGGACGGGCAATTCACTCTAGATGGCCTAAAATAAGCTCCGTTAAAAAAAAGGGAAGCATGAGCCCATTAAGAAAAATCCTCAGTGGTACTTAATAACATGTCTTTAAGATGGCATCCCTATTTATTTTCTCTTAAACTGTGTACAGTCACCGTGCAGCTGCTTCATTCATGCCACCCAAGCCACTAGAGGAAAGGCTGTGAGTGTTTAGTTGCAATCAAATGAGCCCTTTCATTCCAGCATGCACCCATTCAAGAGCAGACAGGAGACCTAAGCAGAGGGGATGTGTGAAAAATATATTTTTGTAAATATGTGTCTGTAAATGTGTGATATATCGCAGTTGGCACGTTTATAAAACGGGTTTTGCTTGAGAGGCGTTGAAATGCGCCTTTACTTCCACTGATGTTGCATTTCTGGAAAAATTAAACCATGAAAGAAGGGGCGAGACACTCACCCTTTAGGTTGATGCACTGAAGGTCTTTCCATTGTTTGATCAGCAGATTTTCACCGCGGTTACCGGTCTTCTAATTAAGGGGCGAAATAACTGAGACGCTGAAAGGGCGAATCAGCACCAAACGAACGATTTTCATCCTGTTCTCGTGGCTTCACAGTCCTGAGGGCACAAGTCATGAAAGCCCTTCAATCACTGGCTCAAGCAAACACGCACACACGCACAGACACACATACACGCGCACACACGATTCAAGGCGACCGACAAGATAAAATCCGAGAGTGGAAAAGAAGAAGAAGAAGAAACAGGCAGAAGATCACTTAGGTGAAATGGCATTTCTTAGGAGCAGACACACCGCGCGCTGCTGCTCCAGATGTGGACCGAGCAGCACGTAACACCTGACAGGTCAGCCCGAACCGGAAATGGTGTTCCAGACATCTCTGTCTGTGTGAAGCTGTCATATTTTCATTCATTCATATCTGAACTGAGCATATTCCCTCCGTCGCCGGACCGCTGGATGCGAAGCTCGTTCCCGAGCCACCCCTGTGTGCGCGAGCGAGTGTGCAAGTGGAGGAGGGAGTGATGAAGGTGAAAGCTGTTGCTCTCTGCCTTCAGCCCACACCGCAATGTTGCTGATTCTTGAAAAAGGCAAAGGATTTTAATTTATTCCACAGCTCTCTCGAATATAAAAATGTTTTATCTAAAATTATTATTTATTTATGCTGTGTATTATTTTATAATATAATTCAATATGAATATTTTTCTGTTAAAATATTTATTTATTTAATATTATAATTTAATAGAATAGAATTGAATATAATAATTTAATAGAAAAATAGAAAAAAATATTATATTCATTCATTTTGTGTTATTTTATGTAGCTATTTATTATTTTACTATAATTCAATAAGAATATTTTTCTATTAAAATATTTATTTATTTGTTTATCTATTATTTTATATTATAATTTAATAGGCAAAAATATTGTATTTCTTTATGTGACTATTTGTTATTGTATATTATTTATATGAATATTTTCTATTAAAATATTTACTTGTTTATTCATTTTGATCTTTTTTTGATCATGTAGCTCATGATGATGATAATGATCCAGTGTCTACATTGTTGGCTATCAGCTAAATTAACTGGTAATAAATCGAGGATAGCTATTATTAGACCAACTTTTGGCTTGCTGTGGTAAAAGATGAGTCATCAAAACTCAAAAGGGTCACGACCTTTGCAGTAAGTCAGCTAGTTTGCAGCTACTGAATCTATACATGACCGCAAAAGTGTGTTAGTAACAAAACAGTCCTTTAAATGTTTTAAAAGGGTTTAAACCTTCTTGTTGCCACCCAGGTTATTTACTTATCTTGTAAAATATGGACTATATTTGTATATGCAGTTCATTACGTGCTCCTCCACTGTCTAACTCCCAGACACAGGGGGATTGTGGTGTTGTGATTTGAGGTTTGACAATCAAGCTGCACCGCAGACTCCTCGGGGCTCCTGTTGTGCACAGCTCATGAACACAGCTCGGCATTATTCAGCCTCACAGCACGTTACACTTTTTTTGTTGCGCTTTCTGCCGGTGCTGTCCTGAATATCAATGTATTACGTTTCACTGCGGAGGGGGTGGGTGGGTCGCAGGTCACTGTGTGCACGCCATGGATGTTGCCACGTGTGTGTATGTGCATTCATTTATTTGTGTGTGTGCTACTCATGGAAATCACATGCAGGGGAATTGAATAATATCCAAAACCCATCATCAAAACCCATCTTAATGACTGTCATAATTTTATAATTGGTGGCATAGAGCATTGTACCATGATTAGAGGAGCTGCACAGGAGTTGGACTATTGGGCCTAATTTGCTTCACTCAGTGTCAGGATGTAAAATAGAAAAAAAAACTCCACTAATGATCACAATCTCTGGATGTTTATTAGATGACATGCTGTTTTATATATATATATATATAATGAGGTGATCTCAGCTAACATGATGAGCTGATATCACAAATGAACAGGAAAACGAGATTTATAAAGATATACACAGCAGAGAGATTTACACAGCAGTACTTTTTTGTACTAAGTGTGAAGGAAGATCAATACAGAAAAATTTAACTTCTTCTGCAGAAGTTGCAACCTTCTGCATCCAGCTTCCTTCACATGGAGCGGCCAGTCTTGCTACGTGATGACCTCATGGCAGATCTTGATCTGAAGGCTTTAGTTTCCGTCTCGATAAGACATCCGGCATGTCCGCAGAAGTCCTGCAAAAGACAGACGGATCAGTCATGAGGGAGGCTTGCGTTGTGTTCGCTGAACTAAAACCTTTTCCTTGATATAACTGAGATTTTAGATGATCTGCACTACGTAATTCCTCATCTGTTAAATAACTGAGCCAAACAGTGCATCAGTGTGTTATCTGGTTTGTTTTTCTTGTTTAAATGAGACTATAGTGCTGAAGTGTGACTTCAGTTGTCTGTCTTTCAAGATGCTACACATTGAAAAGTACTCTCTTTCACAAATGTCAGTGAAGACCTGAAAAACTGCTTCGTTTTGAAGGTCAGTGCAGACTCTGCTGTCTGTTTGTTGTCACACAGGACAGCGCATGAAATGCATGATGACATGATTGAAATATATGTGGTAGCGCCATTGCCATAGTAACAAAATTAAAAGTGAGTGACTTTGAAAAGGAGGTGATACTTGGTAATGTTCACTTTCAAAAGCCCCCCATTCTCCTCTAAATTGCTTGTAGTCAGCCAACAAAAAGCCCCACGTCATTATGTAAGGCGTTTTGTTGATTCTTTTCTTGACAGTTTGGCTATGGTTTAAAAAAAATGTCTTTAACTCTCAGAAATAATAAAGGTAACCCTTACCTGTCTGGATAAACCTAGTTAGAAAGTCATTCAAATGGAATAGTAGAGACTGAAGTGCTGAAAGGAAGTCAACATTCTCTAAGCAGCGCATGTCATCAGTGAGACTGTCACATAGTAACATTTCAGTGTTTTTTCTCGATCTTACTTTAACACCTTAGTGTTTATATTATAATTTTTAAAAATAGCAAACAGTTAATTAATATAAGGCATAAAGAGCAACAAGAACTACCAATTGGGCGACACAGCAGATCTGTACATATCAAGATTCTGAGTAAAGCCCACGATAGTACTGCATGTGAGATATACTGCACTACTATGGAGCTGCTGGCTTGTGTATTATCACAGCTCTCAAAGGTTTTTGTAGTTTTTCCAAGATCCATTCGTGCCCAGATTAGATTCTTATAAGTCTATCAACATGCTGACTAGTTTCTGCAAAATGTGATTCATACTGCAAAGCTTAGGAAATTAAAAGTACTCTTATATCCAGGAAACATAGCATTACAGTCACAGGAACTATATTACAGATAAGGTATATTGAAATGCCTTTCTGCTGTACTGTGGTACCATTCACATCCCTATTTTGATCATGTATAATTATCAAAGGAGACAGACCCCTCATCCGGGTTGGCTTCAGCTATTGTTCCAGCCTCCACAAAGGTTCCCATACGACTCTTAGACCGTTCCAGATTAATCTGACTGTGAGTCCCTGGCAAGACAACAAGAGAGCATGGAAGCATTAAGTGTAACAGTACATGTTTAACTAGCATGTGAAACAATGAGCACTAGATCATACTGAGAAGGGTTATACAGAGGGGAAAACACTTATTTGGATTGTATAGTCACATATATGTATATAACATGGGCCTTAACAATTAAGGCAGATAGTTTTAAATGAACGCTTAACTTAAACTAAAAAGATAATAACAGATACAGGTGTGGTTAAAAGTTTACATACAATCATTCATTCCTCGTGGGCATGAATATCATGGTAGTTTGGGCTTTTAATGATTTCTTTGAATTGTTCTTTTTCCAGATTGGAATGATTGTACATCGTACATGTACTTTTCCGTGTCGAGCCTGAAGTTGATGATTTTGGACCCGGGGCTTCTTTCTTGGTCACCACTCTCTCAGTCCATGTTCTCGTAACACTCACTTCACTGAACAGTAACACTGGTGTTCCAGCAGTTTCCAGTTCCAATGTTGACACATCCGAATAACTTGCATTTATGAAAATTGCTTGAACTGATTATGTTGGAATCTGTGGTTGTCTAGAAATCACTCCAAGAGACCTTTTCAACTTGTGTAAATCTACAATTCTCCTTCTTAGATCTTCACGGAGTCCTTTGGACTTTGGAGTGAGTGCTATCAAACAAATAAATTTTAAGCTGGCAAAGATGATCGTGATCGCGATGACTACTGAGAAGTAAACGGACCTTGGCCTTGTCAAGTTAAAAGACAGTGCGCATGTAAACCTATGATCATAAGTGTAGGTATAAGCAGCTCATCTAAGTGCAAGAATATAGCTTCAGAGAGGGAATTTTAGGACGGGAATGCAGGCACTCCTGAATCTTCCTGTGATTTTGACCTTCACATATGATTTCAATAAGTTTTAATATGCAACATTTAACTCAAACTGATCAAACGAAACAAAAACACATAATTTGCAAATGTTTCACTCAGTCTGGTAATAGTTTCCATGTTTGAAGTCAGCATGTCAAAAACATGAACCTGCTTTCACTGGAGCACAAACATGCACAGATGCACAGTTGGCTGCACAGCGCAAAAACTGTATGCAGACAAACGTTTCCCCTGGCTCATATTTGTTAACAATTAAGTGGGGGAAAAAAAGCAGTTAGGAAAGAAGGAAATTATATTATTTTTTTAAGCGCACTCAGTGAGACATTAGACAGATGGCTGAAGCGCTCTCTCTGATAACAGCCTGAGCACAACATCTGCCTCGCTGCTGTCAACTGCAGTGTTTCTACAGGTGTCTGAGTTTTTATCAAACAAATAAGGCGCATAGACTCAATGCAGATCAGTATCAAGTGCCTTTGAGTGTTATACGATAGCATTATTAACTCACTGGCTCGCTCCTTCATTTCACCCACCTTCTCGTCTCAGTGTCTCAACTGGCTGATCAGGAGCAGGATTGGCAGGGGCGGGGTGCACTCTGAAGTTCGCTGAGGATTTTAGCCAAAATGCCTTTTATTGTTATCGTGAACACACTTACAAATAATAGCATCGAAAAATATACAGGTGTATATATCAAACTGCTTACCAAAGGATGGAAGGATGTGGTTGACGTTCAGCCAAGCTTTTATGAAGGGGTAGATTGCTATTAGCAGGCCTGGAAAGCATAACAGTCCAATAAATTTATTAATTAAGGCCTGGCTTTACTCTAGTTCCCTTATGGTTGAAAAGCAGCAGATTTACTGCAGTGTTAGTGCAGATAACTGTCACCACGAGAGAGGAAAGCATTTGGTGCTGCAGATGCAATGAGAAGCCTCATTAAAAATGGGCATAAATTGTAATAGTGTATTAAAAAATACAAATTCAATCACCTGCATGGACTAATTCACACCAATCAGTGTAATTTATTTTGTTCAGTTGTTTGAAATGCAATCTCACTGCCTCCGGCTCCCGTGAGCCTTAACGGCTCATAAAAATAACAGTTTTTAATAGAAGTTTCCATACTTGGAGACTTTGCGGAGAAACAATAAGGCTGTTTGATGAAATATCTATTCCCAAACTGAAATCCACTCGACAAAGCCTTCAGATTATTCTCAGTGCAGCAGCTACAGTGTGCGATGTTTCGTTCAGTTCGACTCAAAGTACAAAGTAATATCTGAACCGCTGGGCTCGTGTGCCTCTCTGTGGCACTGTGCTCCAATTCAAACGTTATTGATTTCCCTCTATAAGCCAGAAGATCTGGCATTACACCCCCGGCAAGTCCTGAGGGTGGCTGTGATGCATGTTTGTGCTTAAAATGTCATGAAACTGCGGAAGGAGTAAAAACAATCTGCTGAGAACACTCTGTTCATACTCATTAGTCAGCCTATGTGTTGGAGGCAGCATCGCAGCACACAAGCCCCAAAACACATAATTAGATGCTACTCAGCTGCACAAATGCTGCCAAAGCGAATGTTTCTGTCAAGCGGCTGTGCGCAGTGTTGATTTGTCAGATTCTTAGTGCACATTACAAAGTCAAATTAGTTACTGAAAGATGATCAACTCATCAGAGAGGATGTTTTTTGCATTAACTATGCATGCACTCTGATGCCGTCGTCCTGTGATTGAAAACCCTGCCCTTTTGCTCCTTCTCTCCAGGAAACCGGTAAAGACACTCCTTTATCTTGGCAGCCCAGTTCCTCTGGCTATCAGCTGGCTCCAGTTACAGCGCTGTATCAAATGAATGAGGGATGGAAAACTGACACTGACCGCTGATCTTTCACCTGAGTTTTTGACATTTCATTTAAAATAGATATTCCAGCGAGATATTAATGTGCGCTCCCTCACTTTTTTGGCCTTCTTGAATTGGATTTTTAGTGAATTAACAAATTAACTCACTCACAAAGAAATGCACTGTGTAATAATCTCTCCGGTGACGCACCATAATGTTTAGATACAACTATTACCTAAAACCTTCTGTTTAACCTCTTAATATACAACGTATCACTGGTAAACCCTCCCGGGCCAGGGTTGAATTTTATTTTAGCTACATGCTACATGTTAAATCAGAAAACTGTCTGAAATGTTGCATTTTAAATTTTGGCACTACAGTTTTTCTTTTAATGGCTTTTCCCACTTGAGCCTCTTGGCCAATATATCGATTGGACTCTACCCCTAACACCACATGGGTCACCAGACGACCAGGTGGCTGTTAAAAGGTTAAAAAAAATGTGAAAGCCACAGAAATAGAGCATAATAAAATACACTGTATGGTAATAGCAGAAGTTTTAGCATCAAAAACTGCTTAAAGTACCTGAAGTAAAACTACTAATTTTGCAAAACCTTAGCCAATATTATTGTATTAATAATGTGTATTAATATGTATCAAATGATGTGTATAATATGTTATTCTGGGGGGCACAGAGAAGGCCAAACATATCATATGGGCTCTCTCAAAAGTGTGTAGTTGGACATCACACGGACTTTGTACTCAGTTATAAATTTCTTGCATGAACCTCTGTTGTATGAAAGTTCAGGGCTGCAGTGCATGAGAGACAACAGATCTGTCATGACCTCCTGAAAAATGTCATAAGTTAAAAGTTACACACAGCAATAGCAAAAAGCAGGTTTAATAAACAAATGTAATCCAAATATCCAGAATCGGCTTATTACCCTCCCTATAACTGCATCACCTATAAAATCTTAAGACACACTCACCGAGGCCCCCCGCTCCCAGGAAGATACCTCCGACTGCATCAGCATCGCATTCCCTGGATACCCCAATGATGATGCAGCCCGCCACAATGCTGAGCAGGGCTGAGCCTACCCGTAGCCCGTGGTACTCTCCGGTGCTGACAGGGTTCATTCAGCACGTGGATGCTCCCCGCCTGCTCCCCCCACCACATGCACTGTGGAGCCCCGACACTGTGCTCTGCTTTAACTTGGGCCCTCAACTTTAATGTCCCCGAGCCTCACCCCGCTTCGTCTTTCACTCTCAATGATGCAGAAACACTTTCTCTAGTTAAGCCTCAGTCGCTATATTCTGTTTCTTAAGATACCTCATGCATCTTTAAAGATAGAGCTCTGGTTTCCATTGACATAGAAAATTAGAAAACTAGTGGCTCTGACTCTTTTGACTGTGAAACCCATGCTACAAATCTGATCATAGTCCTCCGGCATCAAGTATCAGGGCTGCAGCAAATACCCTAATTGCAATTCTCAAACTGTTAACAAGTCTTGTAGAGTTGCAATATGCTGAAACTTAAAGGCGAGGTATGGCAGCATGACTACAAAGGCAGCACAGAGGAAACTGTGACAGAGAGACAGTTAGATTACGCTACTTGTCTGATTTGCCTGTGAGCTTGAAGGGAATGTGTAATGAAAGGTTCAGAGAGTTCTCCATGTGGTGGGGGCCTGAAGCCATCCACAAAGGCATGCAGTTGCCATAGGAATAGCATATCCATGGCAACGGGGGAGGAAGGGTGGGTAGGGGGTTAGAAGGATTAACACCGGTGAGTAGGGTAACAAATGAGCATACTGGGTGGAAGAGAAACTGTGACACATTTACTGTTAAGAAAGTAAACTCCATCTTTTCTGGATGATTGCATGTATTTTTAATCAATGCTGGTAATGCGGGTCCTATGTGTGTGTGTGTGTGTGTGTGTGTGTATGTTAGTGACACAGCAATTAATGGCTGACAATAATGACTCTTGACAGCCTTTGTGGCATGTCAACCTTTAAAATCAAGCTAACTTGCAAGGGGCTGCAAATCCCCAGGAGTGAACCAGCCTTCCAAAGAGATTTATCAAGTCCTTTGGGGTCATCCGTCCCCCAGCAGACCAGAACATAAAAATGCCACATTACACCAGAGACTCATGAAACATCCCCATCATGGTGTCGCAGAAAGTGAAGGAGCAGTTCTGAAGGACAGAGATGTAGTTTCTGCTCAAGGTATTTGTTTTTTCTTGCTGTCCCCCAGCAGAAAGAGAAGCACTAGAAGTCCTGAACCTCCTGATGTTTACAGATTCTGATGGGCTAACAAACTGAATAATAATACAGAGTCCTGTATACATCTGATCATTCATTAGGGAAAATAACCACAATTGTCCATGTATTTCTTTTCTGATTATACAATTCACAGAGAGGTTGGAGTCAACTGAGCTCTTAGAGGGTGCAAGGCCATACACTATGGACAGTGCTGGGGAGTAACGGAATACATGTACCACCGTTACGTATTTAAAATACAAAATATGAGTAACTGTATTCCGTTACAGTTACCGTTTAAAAAGGTGGTGTTCAGAATACAGTTACTTTGTTGAAATAAAGGGATTACATGGTGGTCTTTTCCTGTTTCATATGTCAGGCTATGCCCTCGCTATTTTTTGTAATTCCATGCTGGCAGTGTTGGGAAGGTTACTTTTAAAATGTATTCCATTACAGAATACAGAATACATGCCCTAAAATGTATTCTGTAACGTATTCCGTTACGTTACTCAATGAGAGTAACGTATTCTGAATACTTTTGATTACTTAACATATTATCATGCATTTTACAACTACGTGAATGTACTATTGCTGTGTGATTTATTACTATTACTGAAGGTCCGCGGCTCCGAACCGTAGTAAAGGGACCTCTGACTAATACAGTTCCGTGTCGGGCTCGTAGCCGAAAAATTGTTTTACTTTGTTGTGTGGGTCAACTCTGCTTGCGAGAGACAGAGAGAGGCATTGAAAGGCTGCTCCAACGGAACTTATTGTTTCAGAGGAAAACACAAACAAAGCGAGTTTTAATAGCTTACTTACAACTGGGCTTGTCAGGCACTCTTCTTGGCTGCAGTGGTTATTATTATATTTACAATTTTCCAGCTCCCGTTTTTGCTCGATGACAGCTTGTACTTTTCGACTCTCCTTTTTCTCCCTCCCTTGCTCACAGACACATAACCAGTCCATTCTCCCTGCAGCACGGACTACACTGCCCATGAAGCTACATTCTGCATTCTGCCTATTAGCTTAGCACAACAACAACAACAAAAAGG